GATGAGAGAGTTGGGGGTAACTGCACCTTTAATCCCCTCTGTGGTCTATTGAGAAGCCACCTACAGCAGTGGGAGGGACAATAACTCCTCGTGGGGAAGCCCCTGTTCCAACCAGTTTGGTTCTGGTAAACAGGGCAGGGATTTTGCAGGAGGACTTCACACGCCCTGCTGTGACGGTGGACGGTATTTACACCTGTTGGTGAAAGTCTCCCTCTCACTCCTCCCAGCTGCAAGTGATGCAGACTCAGCAGAAATTCTGCCCACAGTTCAAAATCAAGGCAGATTGGGCAGGTGAGAGCCCCCTAGAGATGGAGCGGGGTGGGGGTGGGGGCTGCAGCAGCCAGGGCACCTGGGAGAGGAACACGGAGGGGAAATTCAGTCTCATTAATTCAGTTCACAACAATGGGCCTCACCTCATGGAACTAGCTACAGGCAGAACAGCCAAAAGCTCTGAGCCCTGGCACTTTAGGGCCTGTTCACAATTGATTCTGCTTCCCCCAGGATATCTCCATAGACTCTCTCCTGTTGCACTGTGTGTTCCAGTGCGACTCACCAGGGGCTCTTGCTTAGGGGGCCTGGCCCTGCAGAGACCTGTCACCAGCAGGGGCAGCTCCTCCTTGGGGGAGCGTGGAGTGAAGTCCCAGCAGGAATGTAACTGCTGTGCAGTGCTGCTGACACACTTTGTGGGGCAGCACCATCTGCTGCCACTGGAGAATCCTGGAGGCTGCAATACACCAGGCTGCTACCGATGCCTGTGCCTCACTTAGCCTGCAGGCAGCACAGGGAGGAGGCCCAGAGCCGGGTACAGAGGTGACTGTGGGGCTGTTTCAGCTCATATGCACTGGTAGGTCTCAGGGGGCTTGGTGATGCAGGGTTCCCAGAGTCAACATGGAATAATGGAGAGCCCAGAGCTGGCCGTGAGGGATGCTTCCCCAACCCCACAGATCTCACTGCCAGGATGTTTTCCCGGAGACTCAGCCTCAGTTTCCCCTTTTTTAATTTCTCCCGAACCCCTTGCTGTTTTTGCCCCTAAATTCTTTATGTTCAAAAACAGAAACAATAGAATGCCCCGATGGTGGCCACAGAAAATACTGACCCTAGGAGCAGTTCTCCATCCACATCTCACACTGCCCATGAGACCCCCCTATTCTTTGTCATCTCTGACCACAGTCCTGCATGTCTGGATGGGTCCCTCCACAGCTGGGATAGGCAAATCCCCTCATACAGCTCCCCCCCGCCCAGCTAGGATGGGAGATTCTGGAAAGTCTGGAGGATGCAGCCACATTAGCATTGGCCTCCCCCCTCCTCAGATGCAGTTGGTGGGGACAGAAATGAGGACACCCCAGTAGGGGTGCATACAGGATATCATGCAAGGCAAATGTCCTGCTTGGATTGGACTTAACCTTACAACCCCTGCAACGAAGTGGACCTGAGCGGATGGCTCCCCGTTAAATCAAACACTTTGCATCTCTCCACATGTTAAATACATCTGAAGTGTTTTTAAACATTGGCCAAGCTAATTGTTTATCATTATTTGTATTTATTATTGCTGCACAATAAAGCCTCTAATCAGCTATAACAAGTGCCCATGTGAACTAATGGATGACATAGTGCAGCAACGACTTCTATTGCCCGTTGTGCTGGCACTTCGTCAGGGGCAGCAGGTTTGTATAATTTTTGGTGGTGCCCAGAACAGGTCCATGTCCTGCCACCCCACCGCCCCACACAAACACACACACACCTGCCTTGTAAGCTGATCTGTATTTTTTAAAATAATGTAAAAATGGACTGCAAACAGTAAGCGCTTAACAGTTTCCCTCTATTGCACAATATCACTATCGTCAGAAAAATTTATTTAACTAAGAATATCAACTTGATTAATACTCTTTTGAATACGGAAACAACCCAGCACTCTTGGATCAATAACCCTCGAAAGCAAATGCTTTCTAAAACTAAAACAAAATGTATCCTCGTCTTTTTTGATGTTCTTCAGGAGGCAGCAAACACTTTTCATCATTGTTCAGTGGGGGATGGGGCTTGCCCAGCCTGGGGCAGGAGTGGTGACTGCTGGGGGAGGGGGGACAGGGTGTTACGACACTCACCCAAGCCACAGCTGCTCAGGTCCAGAAAGCCCCCTCGACTCCCTTGGGGTGGGTGCCAGAGGCAGGGGACCTGTAACGTGTGCGCCTCCTCCCCTGCCGCTGGCCCTCACTGTAGCCTCATTGGGTTGGGGATGGGGCTGCCCCTTGCCAAGTGTGGAGCAGGAGTGGTGACTGCAGGTGGAGGATAGGGTGTCATGAATCCAAAACTCACCCAAGCCACAGCTACTCAGGTCCAGACTCCAGGAAGCCCCCTCGGAGTCAGGGATGGACTGCCATAAAATGTGCGCCTCCTCCCCTCCTCCCTCTGCAGACGCAGTAGCTGCCTCAGCCTGCTGCCGGCGCTGGTCCCTTTCTTGTGAGGTAGCGCAGCACGGAGCAGCAGGGCAGCCATCCGCTGCACAGGGCACAGGCAGGGATGCTCTAGGGGAGGTACACGGTGGCGGCAGGTGAGGCTGTGGGAGAGACCCGGCCTCAAACATTGGTGGAATTGTGCCCCCAGGCCCTGAGTATTGCTGGAGCCCGGGCACCATGGGCCTATATCACTCGTGGCTCCTGCAACGCATATTTATGCAAGTTTTTAGTTGCAGAAGTTTGGCCTGTATTTATTTACTTCTGAAAAACACCAAAAGTTAGATTCTGACTGTGTGGAGACATCAACTATTATAGAAACCACATTATAACATTTACTTTGCTTACTATATATGGGATTATAATAAAAATATCATAGGGAAGATCCAAATGATAACTCTAGCCTGTGTTTTTGCACATAGGTTGTTAAACCCTGGGAATTGCTGGGAGCAGATTGAATCGGGCTCTATCCAGTCCCACAGAAGCGATACCAGTTTGTACTGACAGCTACAGATAATTTTTCAAAATAGGTAGAAGAATTTCCACTTAGAACAATGACAGCACATGAGGTGGAGAAGAAGACATGTGAAATTATCTATCAACATGGCTGTCCAGAGCAGATACTCGCAGATCTAGGTTCTGAATTGAATCATGAGGTAACAGTTTACATTGGGTGTTATTTTCACTCTATGGTCAATTACACAATCATGGCTGTGTGACAGGGGGCTGTTAGCAGCTACAAACAGAGCCCTTTGGAAGCCAGCACCCTGGTCACTGAGAACACCCAGGGCACCGGGTGCAGTTAGAGTAGGAGGGACTGAGTAGTTTGGATTTGGAAGGGCAGAGGGGATCACTTGCACCTGTAGGGAGCCTGAGGAGGTCACTAGCTCAGCGCTGAGAAGAAAGCAGCAGTATAAAAGTCTGAATCAGGGAGCAGGAAGGGGCTCCTCGGAACTGCTGCTATGTTGTGATGCACAATAAAAAGTCATAAAGACACTTGGTGGAGGTTCCCTGGCAGACTGCCTGCTGCTTAATTCACAGAGAGGTCTGCCAGCCAGGGGCTGCAGGAACTGATGGGGGAGCCCATACAGAGTTAGAAATTTTAAAATGAACATTGCCTGCAATCTCTTCATGACACTTCATGCTGTCAATTGAGAGTCACAACACATTTGTATGTCTTGTCAGATAGTAAAAACCATGTTGTATATTAACCTATTTGCCAACATATTTTCCCATGTAATAACACAATAAGATTGGATAAGAAATCACAGTAATTACATATAATTCAGTGAGAAATAGGGAAAGGAATGCAGATATTTCTGAAGGAAATTTTAGGGAAAAATTATCTATTTTTAGATTAAAATTTCCCTGTGTTAAAAATTAGGAAGAACTCATAGCTTCAGGAGCCCATTTCACCTAGACACCAGCAGACTGGATAAAACAAATCAAAGTAAGTTTAGGGCACACTGCCATGAATGGCATATTGTGAATAAATCTTCAAACCTGAATTATTACATTGAAAATGTTCATAACGCATCACGTTTAAAACAAAAAGTAGTCCTAGCAATGCCATGTGATGTGCCTCCCCTCAGACTCTGCTCAGGAAGCTATTCAAGAAATTAGGTTCAATCGCTAATTTCAAGGAATTAGACCAATCGGTCACTATTTTTACAGAGCATTCCAGAAGGGGGTGGACAGAACCCAGAGGAATTGTGATGAATTTCCTGGAGCAACTTTCTTTTCTTTGTACTCTAAACCTCACATGACAACAAAAATATCACCCTTTCAACTGATTTATGGCCGAGAAGAAAGGTTTCCCAAGAAAGCTTCACCAAATTTCATGTTATGTGTCATTAAGGGCCAGCGTCTTTAATACAATTAAGTTAATTTGTGATGATTCAGCAAAGGAATACAACCCCTTCTCTATTTCTTTATCAAACTACATTTGTTGTGTCCTTATAACGAAGACCATGAAGAGCCCGGCAGTACATTGCAATCAACAGTGCACAGTGACAGTACATTGCCTGCAAATAATATGTCTAAAGAAAAAGAAACTAAAAAATGGAGATTGTAGAAGAGATTTCTATCTATAGGAAGATAGCATTTGAGGTCGGGGATCGTGTTTTGTTAATTGATGTGAGCAAAAGTAAGGAAGGGTCATATCTTGATTACTGATGATATGTAGCTAGAAAGTTAAAAATCCCATGAATTAATGCTGACAGAAGTTCAAAGATTATTATATAATCTTATGTGAGTTAATTTAAATATATTGCTTAAATAATTCTATCCTTATTTCAACTATTAATTTTCAAAGGTGTAGTACAGGATGTGGGCGTATGTGCCCTGCATTCCAGAGGGGGGGCAGGGAAAGGTGAGGGCTGGGGGTTGCCAGGTGTCTACTTTTCGACTGGAACCTCCAGTTGAAACAGGAAACTGGCAGCATCCGGTCAGCACAAAAAGTCCAGTTGCCAGCAGTAACTGGCCCCCACCACTGGGGGCAGGAAAAGCAGCAGCGCTGGGAGGGGACAGTCTGTGCTGCGTGTGTCACTGTCAGGGACAGAGGTTCCCTCTGGCCTGAACTGGGACCGGGCAGATTATGAGGGGAGCCGCCTTTGTACCCCCAGCGTTGAGACCAGTATAGAAATAAGGGCGGAGCGTCCCGGAGAAGGTGTCAGTGAAAGTGAAGAGATGGGACGTGTCAGTCACATTGTAAAACGAGACCTCGCCCGCCTCATAGTCCAGGAAAATCCCCACCCGGCTGGGCCTGACGCTCACAGGGAGGGGGGTCCTGGGGGAGGTGCAGGCCATGTATTCCCCCTCCCTCAGCCACACGACCCAGTATCCATGCTCAGGTGTGGCTGTGACCTGCCCCTTCCTGCTCACAGATTCCCTACAAACCCCCAGAGCCCACTCAGGCTTGTCTCCCACCTCCACCTCCCAGTAACGCCTCCCGCCCGCGAACCTCTCAGCACCCAGGACACAGACACAAGGATCAAATCTCTCAGGGTTGTTGGGCAGATCCTGGCGTGTGTCTCCGAGTCTCACATGTTTCCGATCCTCAGACAGGACGAGCTGGGGATTTGCTGTGTCTGGATCCAGAGTCATGTCCACTGGGGAGAGAGTCACAGAGTCAGTGCCGGGGGCAGGGGCTGGTCACTGGGATCAAAGGGGAATTAACCTGTATCCCCATTAATTGCTGGGGGGGGTTGTTGCCTGAGGGGAGTCAGGACCCTTCTGCCTGTGAGGAGACAATGAGCAGGGAAAGTGCAGGAGGAGTGGGGGAGGAGTGGGAAGGTGTCAGTGGGGGAGGGAGGGATGGGTGGGGCAGGCTGATGCTGGGAGAGGAAAGGGGAGGGGCAGGTGACAGTAGTAGTGGGATGGAGGGGCAGGCCAAGGGCAATGGAGGGGAAGAGCAGAGAAGGGGTAGGTGCCAGGAGGCTAGTGGGGTACAAAGGGAGGAGTGAAAGCTGGGGGGCACAGGAGGAAGAGCAGACGGGCAGGCAGCAATGGGGCAGCGGGAGGAGCAGGCAGCAGGGGGACAGTGGTCCGTCATGAAAAGGGGCACGCATCAGGGAGAACAAGGGGCAAGAGGTTATATTGGAGTAGAGGGGGGCAAGGGAAGAGGTGGGCACCGGAGGGGCATGTGCTGGGGGACAGAAGGGGGAAGAGGAAGGGGAAGACAAAAGGAGGGAAGGGGGTGGGGAGGAGGGTGAGCCAGGAGATGGGGGGTGAAAGGAGGGGTGGGCATGAGAAAGGCAGGGGCTGGGGAAATTCATGGGTGATGGGGGCAGCGGGGCGTGAGAAGAGTGGAGTCAGTGGGGCAGAGGGAGTGAAGGGGGTGAGCACCAGGAAGGAAGGGTGCAAGGAGAGGGGCAGGTTCCAGGAGGAGTGAGGGAAGGGAGAGGCACCATGAGGGTGCAGGGGGTAAGGGAAAAGGCAGGTGCTGGGGAGATTAAGGAGGCTGAGTAGAAGAGCAGGCACCAGGAGGTCAGGGGTGGATGGACAAGCACCAAGAGAGAGAGGGAAGAGGTGGATACCAGGGCTGCAGAGAGGGGTGAGCAGAGAGACAGGGCAGGTGGGTAGAGGGAGGTGTTAGGAGAGCAGGGGTCAGAAGGTCAGAATGGGGCTAGAGGAGGGGTGGACACAGGGGGGCGAGGGAAGGGGTGGGTGTCAGGGGTCAGAGAGGGTGCGGAGAGGGACAG